TGCATCGGGCAATACTAAAACATACATATTGAAGAAACTTAAATAGTCGCCTACGTATGTGTATGTATGCATCAGCACGCATAGATGTACAGCTCTGTGTGGCCGTGTAATTGTTGTTGTTTTTTCTCTTTTTCATTTCAATGCTACAGAATTAAATTCAGTTTTTCGATCTAATTCGAACTAATGTGAGGTGGCGCTGATCAGCTGCGTTCGCATAAAAAAGTTCCCAATCTCATATACGCCAACCCCGCTTGTATTGGATATTGGATAATATTTTTGAGAAGTTTTTTCACATTTCGATTTGTAAATGTTAAATCGAATTGGATCAAATGGCGTTTCGAAAAAACTCTCCTTGGTATTAAAAGGATAACCATGAATATAAAATTCATTTTCTATTTCCACAACGTAATACATTTCAACAATTTCATTCGTGAGAGTTAAAAAATATTTATCGCCTTCTTTCCTATTGGTGAAAACAATTTTATCGCAAAGAGTAATTTTATTGTAACCTATCTTGTTTGATTGAGACGATATGTTGAATGGATACTCAACACATGTCACAATAATCTTCTTTCTATTTTCGTGCCAAGTATCCATTGGAATAGACGACTCTTCAGCAATTCGTCTCACAATCTGTTCCAATGGTTTGTTACATTGTTTAAGTGAAAGTTTCAAATGCCGTAAACAATTTTCAAAACCATATGTATTGATTTAATTCAAATTTCCAAATCTCGTAACGTCTGCAGTAACGTGAATCACAATATGAACATTGCTCCCTATTGTACTTTCCCCATAAATTTCCTTGTAACTTTGAGCATATTCTTGAAACATTTCAGTTGCGATTGGAATGTACTTCTTGTAGACATCACTGGACTATAGACTATCCCAGAAAAATTAAAAGTTAGAAATGAGGGATCTAAGACAATAACTTCTACGTTGTTAGAATGGTTTTTTTAATCCCGAGAAGCGCTCGCGCAAATATGTTTTTTTGTTTCGGTCTTCTTGGTAAAATTCATAAAATCGATTGTAACTTGTGCAAGGGATGGTGGACGACACTTGCAATACTTCAAGTGGTAAACATCACCATTTCGTTAATTTGGAAACATCATTTTCATGAGATTTAATCATTTTTTAGGTAAGAGTTCAATATTAGTTTCACTTAATTTTTTGCCAATGTCATCGTTAAGAGGGAAAATTAGAGAGATCACGGCAGATATCAGCGTTGATACAAAGGTTCCACATGGATATGATATGGGTGTGTATGATATATCAAACTATGACTTGTTCACAGTATCTCTTTAGTCTTTAACCCTCCTAGGTATAGATCATAAAATAATTGTATATGTTGTGAACATTTGATAAAACCAAATCTCGCCTAGAACGTATAGTGGCGGTCCATTGGACCGCCCACACAAAATGCATGAAAACCTCATATAAACAGTAAAAAATAAAACAATTCAAAACTGTCAACAGTGCACATTCTGAATTTTGCGTTATAAAACGGTGCATATAGAGTAGATTCAGCAATGTAGCAAAGAATAAAAAAGAAATAATTTGTGTATATGTGTATATAAGCTAAGACACACGGACATGATTCGTTCGCTGTCGATCAAAAGTGTGGTTTCTGAAGCTGAAATCAACACATTTTATAACAGCACAAAAGGTGGCGTCAGAGTTGGTAAATGCACCTCACAAGTGCGCGCCCTTACAAGTTGTGTGCAACTCTTCTTGGGTGCGCGCACTCGATTCCATATAAATGTTGGGTGCGCGCACTTGGAATTTTTTTCGTGCTTATTTCAATATAAAGAATTGAAAAAAATGTATTTTTTACTTAAATCTTTCCATTTTTTATTTGGTCATCTTCAATATATCAATACAAAATACTGTCAAATTGTGTTTCTTATATATTTTGACAGCTACAAGTAGCCGCCTGCTGGTTGTCTTTTGAACCACATTGCTTTACATGTAAACAGTTTTTGCATGTGAAAAAATTCAAAATGGAAAAAATTAAGTAAAAAATACATTTTTGACGATTTTTTATATTGAAATAAGCAAGAAAAAAATTCCAAGTGCGCGCACCCAACATTTATATGGAATCAGGTGCGCGCACCCAAGAAGAGTTGCACACAACTTATAAGGGCGCGCACTCGTGAGGTGCATTTACCAACTCTGGGTGGCGTTGATCATTCAGATCAACTGTGTCATAGCTATTCATTTTAACGAGGCACGAATCTTCATGAACTTGATCAATGTATGTGGTTGTTTATAATGCAACATATGGAATTACACGAGATCGGTATTCATTTCAACGCAAGAAATTTTTGATCGAATTATCGGAAGCATTGGTGTATGATCAAGTAGCACGCAGATCCACTTATGGATTTAATGAAGTGCATTGAGCTGTACTCAGCACAGTTCAACAGTACCACCCACTTCAAAAACGCAAACCAAACGAGATAAAAAAGTGCATGTCATTTATGTCCCACTAAAATCAATCGAAAGTCGCGAACACAGTGCAGCAAATGTTTGAAAAAGTTGCGATGTGTACGAACTGCACCAAAAAGCGACCGTATGAAACTGCATCATTAGATTCCGTACCGAAATTATGCCCAAACTGTCACACTGCTAGCGCCACGACGGAATTCAATGTAATCTACACTAAGTTGCCGCCAAATAGTGAAAAGACTTTTGCTCAGTTGCAACCAACGGACTAGAACTCCATAGTTGTCCGTAGTGGCGCTAGCAGTGTCACAGTTTTGCATTTTATACAGTCTCTTATGGGGCATAATTTCCGTGTGTCAGATTCCAATTAATTTTGTCATAAATTATTTATTTTCAACCTTTTTTCCCATTTAAAAAAAATTATAACGGCAATTTCAACAACAAAAAATATAATTTTGTTCATTTCATAGACTTTTCATACATTTTGTATGGACCGGATCTATCCATTCAAGTTTTTTTTACTCTATACCTAGGAGGGTTAAAAAATATCGCTCTTCTACTTGCAGATGTTGTGGTATGAAAACCACCGACTATTCAAGTTTTTTCCAAAAGCTTAGTAGGCATCCACCGAACTATCCACAATCTGAGTAATTTCACTTTTGAATTATCACCTTTACAATGACATTTATTCTTGTAAATGATATTTCCAGTGGACTTTTCTCATTCATAAACTCGATAATCGAGAGAGTGAATAAATTGATTAAACTCTTTGAAGATGCTCACAATGAAGAACAATACGTTTGGCTTGTTATGTAAGTTCTTGATTTTTGAAAGAAATGGTGAACATTTCAAAAATATATGTTACGAATTTCAGTGATATAGACCAGCTTGAAAAAATTAGAAAATTGGAGACGAGTTGAGGGGATTCTACAAAAATCCGTATGTTTTGATTTTCTTTAGTTTTCTTCTCTTTTAATGATAGATTCATTAATTATTACAGAGATATTTCGAAAAAAGCAACAGAATTTATTCAGAGAATTTGCATCAACATTCACACAACAATATGCAAGCTGAAAGGCTCACATGGTCCACATCAGCCCATTGCTTTCCGGAATAATAATCAGTAATGCAAAAAATATAACTCAGATAATTCCGATAAACTGATTTTTGAACGATTTATTCTTTTTTCCATATCTAACCACACAATTTTTGGTACTTCGTTTTCAATATTTTGGTCGGGTATTGAAATAGCATGATCCGTTTCTTTCTCGTTACTTACGTAACAGTTGTTTTCAAATAATCGCTATACGTGTAACGTGTAATACGAAGTCACCTAAGACATTCATAAAGTTATTCTTTTAATTATTTGTGATCATATGTTTAATTTAAACGAACTTGTTTTTTAACAATATTCATTGGATTACGTGAATAAGTCTGCTTTTATATTGACACACATTGAAGAATTCTTAGAAAATGAAACGTTTATTTAAATTTTAATATTTACGTTCAATATCACTAGCTTCGTGCGCGTGTGTTTCTTTTAATTTTTTTCGGAAAACGTACACACAAAGAAATTATATAGTGAAAACTAGATGGCTTGTTGTATAAAATTCGGAACTAGTTGACACTTCGTATAAAATTGTATTTTTCCATCTAATTTAATACAAAATATCGTTTATGCTTTGAAGAAGATCCGCATAAAAGAGAATACACAAAAACGATATTTTGTATTAAATTAGATGGAAAAATACAATTTCATTCGGAGTGTCAACTAGTTCCGAATTTTATACGACAAGCCATCTAGTTTTCATTGTATTACTTCTCTGTGTGTAAGACATGGTATAAAATGTGTATGTAATCTTGTATTTTTTCTTCAACTATTTTTCAAATTTAGTTGAGAACAATGACATTGTGTTTGAAACTACCACGACAAACTGAACACAGCAATGTGTATGTACAAATGTCACACGACAGTTTGTCACATCTAGCAAGACGAATGCGGCATTCGCGAATGGTTGCGAATGAAATGTACGAATTTTCATAGATGTTGATGCGGATGAATATACTTTACTTCGTATATTTCATGTGTGAATAGGAAAATGTTCATATATTCCGTATAAAATAGCATTCGCAAATAGTAAAATGCCCCTAGGTTAAATGACGAAGAAGCATTGTGATGAAAATGAAAAAGCGAAAAAATTATTCGAAAACTGATCAAACTTTCAAAAAAATTGCGTAATTATTTACGCTTATAAATTCTCTATTTTACAAAAGGTTACTGCCTCGCCTAGCAGCTCTTCAAGTGATAAACGTCAAAGTGAGAGTCGCTCATCTAGTTTTGATATTCTCAAGAAAACATTTTTGCTTAAAAAATTCACCAATTTTTAGGAAAAACCTCAATCACAGCTTCTCTGCCTTTAAAGTGCCACTACTAATATCAGCATTGAAAATATTCGTAAAGCTGCAGACGAATACAAATGCAACACATGTATGAAAAGGTACTTTACCTAAGACAGTTCATGTTTTTTTTTAAATTATTCATTACGTCTATATCTTGGACTCATTACTGACAGATGTTGTGGTACGGAAATCACAGACTATTCGAGTATGTTCAAAAAACTAACCCAACCTCCGCCGGATTATCCTCAAACTGAGTAACTTCAGCCAAATAAAAACGGTGACTTTAAAAAATGAAATTCCTTCACAGCGGACTGTTTTCGTTCAAAGAATTGAACTTTTTGAAGAATTTTGCAGAAAAGACGAACACGTTTGGCTTGAATCGTGAGTTTATCTTTGTTTTATAGAGTCTGCAATTAGAATTTGTTTATTAAAAATGCAATTTATGTTATATGAATTCCAGTGATATAAACCAACTCAAAAAATTTGGAGATAAATTGAATAAACTCCACGGAAATAACATCGGCATTCACACTACCCTTTGCAAGTTGAAAGGTGCAAATGGTCCACATCAACCGATTTTTTATCGTCAATTGGGCTATGCTCAGCAATAAAGGTCGAATTTATTGAGAAATTGGGTTTTTGTTATTATCTTCTTCATTTCTTTTGAGATGCATATTAATTATTAATTAAAAGATTTCTATCAAGATGTATATGACAAGTAATAATAAAGAACGATTTTAATGTGACGAATGTTTATACAAACAGTCAGTCGAATTTATTGCTTTTTAATTGTTTTTAAATTTATTCAACCGCTTGATTTTGTGCATAAAACTAAAGTCGACTTTAATCGACTTCTTTTTCAAGATAATACCATTTAATCAATGAAAAGGTCCCAGGTTAGCTGGCTGCCTAGATTTGATCTGCTATGACGCGGGTTTCTCTTTGCTGAAATACGCACAACAATTCTGCTGCTAAGCAACCGAATTGTAATGAAACGCTTAGAAGAATGTCACGGAAAATAGTAATATTGATTCCATATCTATTGAAAATATCGAGAAGAGAGTATGTCATTTTTGAGCTGAAAATATTTCAAAACGAGAGTATGTCTTTTGTCGGTTGTGTTAATAGCAAAAAGGTAGTAAGTCGCATCACATTTAAAAATTTATAAAAGAGAGTATGTAGTTTGACGTATTAAGATTGGCTTAAAAGCTACCCTCACTTGCTTTCTATATCACCTGTATATTTTTTTTGAGCTTCACGTTCCGAGCGACATCTCTATGTGCTTGGCATTGAACTCGCGATCCAAACGAGCACCAAAGGCAATTAAAACATTTTTTTTTGGTGCGAAAAAGTCAAAAATGTCAACTGATTTTGTGTG